AGTTGGTTCTACAACAAATAAAATACAGAAATGTTAATAGTTATATAAATTAATGTCAAGTAGATAAAAGTTAACAAAAAATAATATCAAATAAGTAAAACAAATAAAATCTTATTATAAGGTCATACTTTTTTAAATTATAATATTTATTTATTTATTTCATCACAACTTTGTCACTTACATGGCAATTTTTTATTATGTTAATATGAAAAATTCACTAAAACACATACACTTGTTTTGTTATTTTAAAAAATGTATAAACTTAAAGACGAAACAGAGATGGAGAATTAATACGAATTATTCTCGATAGAACTATTCCAACATTTTCTAAACTATTCCTATAAATTGCTCTTCTTTTTACATAAAATTAGCGTAAATTGTGAACGTAATTGAATTTTTTTCTTATCTGTTTTAACTACTTTATCTCGATGTTTAAAGGTAAACGCAACACGCTAGGAAATGTGTATTAAAAAAAGGAAGGAAAGGAGCCAGCAACCTTGATCAGCTCTCACGTGCAGCAAAATTTACATGGACGTGGAGATGGAGGGTCCCGGAGGTTCAATTACGAGATTGCCAATATGCAAGCGACATGGCGGTGGCGGCCATCGCTTCGGCTGATGAGGCTAATGGATGGTTGAAACCTGAGAAGAACGGCAAAGAGGAAAAAGAGGCCAAGGGAGAGGCCCCTGACAGCCACTAAGTGCGCTCCGTCCTTCTCCACCCTTCCCCAATTCCCCCTTCCTTTCTCGTCCTTTCGGTCCCAGCCCTGTTCTCTCTCGCCTCTGCAACACTCTGCCCACTGCGGATGCCCTTATGTGAAACCTAATCACTTTTAGCGCGCGTCACGGATATTTCGTATTATGTCTACATTGCGTTCTCCGGTATCGGCTGACTTTATCAGCCGTCTCTCTATAGTTCAACCTTTCCCTCATCTCTCTTCATCCCCTTCGTTCGTAGAATCAAGTCGTGCGTGCAACAAACCCTAATCGGCTGATGCGTTTCTCAAAGATAGATCATAAAGCTAATTTTTGAGAAAAACGTTAAAAATCGCGATCTCTTTAATTTTAAATATAAATTTTTTCGATTCAATAACTGTATTCAAATATCGTCTTTTTTGATTTTTATACTTTGCCGCTAGTGATGACATGTGTAATAAAAAATTGCACTTTATAATGCATGATTACAAACTTGGATAGTGCAGTTACAATGGGAAAGTATAATTTGTAAATAATGCAATTCCTTTTACGTCGTTAAATCGATACACATATACGAATATAATAACGACACATTTGCGTGTTTGTACTAATGTATAAAATACTCTAATGCGTACCACAATTACGTATCATCAAAGTAACATATGCACGAAGGAAAATTGGTTTTTCTACATAATTCATAATATCGCAACCATTCACGTTTATCATTTTTTTCTGTTATTGAAATTATTTAATCTAATAATAAAACATATTTTAAAATAAAATAAAAATAGTATAACATATTTTGTAATTAAACAAATGCATTTATTATGACATCTATTGTATATTTTTGTAGCAATAAATACCGTGATTGAAAAATATATGAAAAAATTAATGATATATTAATTATATTATATATTAATTATGAAAACAGTAAAATAATGTAAGATTAATTTGGATAAACCTAGTGAACCAAATCTATCAAGAACGCGTATTCTACCAAAGTCTGTTACAAATTTTGTCAGTAAAAAGACTACAGATTTAATTATGCATATAAGTTTAATGCTTAATGTTAGTAGAATGATGACAAAAATCCAATAGACATAGTTTGACGTAAATTAACAACATAAATAAACACAATTTGCAGACAGATTCTGTTCGATTTCTGCCGCAAATTTTCTATCAGAGATTATGTTGGTAGATCCTATTGGTAAAATACGAAATTAATACGGACGTAGTTGAGTTTAATTTGCTAACAATTTATAATCGCATTTACTACCAATTTACTGACAGCAAACAGGTTACTTTCTGAAGAAATCATTAACGAGATAAGAAATAAGTAAGAGTACATAAACAAGCGAAAATAAAATTCAAATGTATAGATTTTGCATATATATGATAATCGAGAGAGAAAAAGAGAAAGTTGAAAGAAGATTACCAATAGGTACCACGATCACCTGGTTGTCCTAATCAAATAGAACGTAGGAATGTCTGCACAAACATTACATCCATGATCGTGACCCGGAAGAGCGAATGTCGAAAATACTGAACAGAGTGCTCATATTACTTATCCCAACCGTATAACGACACGAGTGGCACAAGAAAAAAAGGGATTCACTACTTTTGTTTTCTATTCTCATATTCTTATAGTACACACTTTCTTTTTTTAATTTTAGTTTTTCAAAGGTGTTTCGTTTAGTATTTTGTGCTGTGTAAAGATTTTTAATATAATACTATATATAAAATATTCAGTTTAATAATATTTAACATAAGGTTTGTTCAAGAAAAATTAAAAATAATATTTAGTGTCTTGTATAAAAATAATCTCAAAATTTGTTTACTCCCGAACTATTTTATATATATATTATTTTATTTTTATTGTCTTAAACCGAATGAGACAATTCTCAAAAATTTGTTTTATTTGGTTTGAAACTTAAGCAGTCCAATAATTGATGTTATTTATTATCTTATTTGTAGTTATAAGAACCCTATCCATGACTAAGATTCGAGATAAAATAACAGATTATTTAATATAAAAATGTATGTAATTATTAAATAGTATTAAATAGTAAATTTGATTGAACAATCAAATAACTATTTCTTACTTTTTATTTCCAGTTCTGTATTCAAAGATAAAAGATATATTACAAAATTTGAGAAAATATAATTTAAGTTTCAAATCATCACAATTAGACATGTCATATAAAAAACAATTATTATATAAAATAATATATAAAATTATATATGAAAAACATAGTACTATGAAGAATACTGTAATATATGAATATATATATATATATATATTAAAATTAAATTAATATATTCTATAATATTTACCTTTAGCTGGTCCACTTCTTTTGCTTGTTGATTACATTTCTCTTCCAACATAGATTTAACTGTTGTAACTAAACCTTCTTCACAATTCTTGTTAGCTTCTCTGATTTCACGTATAAGTTCTGAAATAAATAATACAATATTTTATCAGAATAATGATCGTCCCATATTATTGTGTAAACTAACAATAAAAATTACATTTTATTATTATTATCTACCTGATAACATTCCAGGTTGATAATCTGCAGGAGTACTGTGTTTACATTGTGCCAATTTTGCTTTCACATTCTCTACATTCGACTTAGCTTCACTAAGTTCTTTAAACAGTTGGTTATTACACTTTTTTAGCTCAGTCATCTGCAACATAATATTTTTATTAAAAGAGATCTTAATAATTTGACAAATACATTAAACACACACATATAAACAACAATTAAATACATTTTGTGTATTTTAAGTACTAACAACAATCCTACAAATAATTGTGTCAATAATAGAACATATTTAATTCAATGCTTTCAAACAGAAAATAAACAAATACAAACCTGTTCAATAAGTGACAGAACAAGCTTATTACTACGGCTAATTGTCGTTATGGAACTCCCACTCTCAACACTATCAGAATCATCACTGTCTGAGTGAGCCGAAGGCCCAGCAGGTCCCAATCCAGGATCAGAGTATCTTCTATGCTCCGAATTAAGTTCGTCGCCACTGATTCCATTGTCTTTGTTGGCGGTAGGTGGCAGACTGGCATAATCTCCGTTTTGAAGAGCCATATGCATAGCAGATTCCAAAACTCCATTTTCTTGCAAATTCCCATAACCATTAACAACACTATTGGCATTGGGACGAACATTCGCCAAGTGCTTGTTACAGTGATGCCTTTGTCTATTGTGGGCGGTTCTAATGTTTGGCACTGGCATCGGCTGATACATTCTGTACATTGTAGGCAGTGAGACTGGCTGCATTGTGTATGTCATAGGCATCGGCGAATAGCCACAGACGCTTGGATCTGACATTGCGGTGAACAGACGTTGTCCATTACCCGACACATTCTGCACGTCTGTCGGTTGCCACAGCATCTGCCTTGGAGGATACTCCATGCCAGTCACCAGGCCACTGTCTTGATTACTCTGTGAAGGATTCGGCCATGTGTCCTGTATCGTGTCCAACAAGTTGCTCCTGCGGCTGGATCGTCTTTTATTCTTCCTTGAGTGACTCGGCGGAGTCTGACGCGGCGGTCTCGACGAGTTCGACAACCTGCGCATCAATTGTCTTGTTTACACCAAAACATAACCCTTCGAACAAGCGACTGAATCGCGACTCACCTCTGCTCCATCCCGACGGTCGACTCGATCCACGTCAAGAAGTTCCTCGCAAGAACGCGCGCAACATCCGTGGAACGGGGACGTTAGGAGAGTTAATCTAGCCCTTCCATAATCCGATCTAGTTCTCAGCCTGTAACGGCACGTCGTTGTAAGATATTCCCTGAGTGGTCTGAAGTCGCCAGGTTCCAGTGCGATATGACAGATCGTGCAACCTTTGCACTATCTTTGACAACTCACGCGTAAGATTTTATCCGAGCTTATCGACGTTCATCATAACACAACGAAGATCGAAAAGAAGAGAACAATTTTGTTAAAAAGATGAAATAAGATCTTCTATCTACGACCCGTCTAAGTCCATCCACGTTCACCAACATTCACGCATGCTGCGTTCGCAGCGATAGTGTCGACGACAGCAGACAGATGACGATTTCACTGTTTCACCGATTTTATATGCGAGAGGCGACAAGTGACCGTCGATAATAACGACTATCGAATTCGGAATATCTTCGGTCGATAATGTGACGTTTGACAGCAACCGACAGCTGCTTCACGTGCGATGAATTATCTGTATGCGACATAACCTCGGAAAGCGAGTGGCAAAAAGAGAAGAAGTAGAAGAAGATGCGACATAACCTCAAAGTGAGAAATGGCAACTGCTGGAAGACGGATGGAAAATGAAAAGAACAAGCCGATATTTTGCGAATTAAACATTAACGATCTGGAACCGGAAATTACAGAGATCGAGAGCCTCTGCGTGGAATGCGGCAAGAACGTAAGCAAACTCTGCATTAATCTTGAAACTAGGCATTTTTTAATAGCCAGTTCCACTAGTGTAAGATTAACTTTAACCTGGATTGTCTACATGAAAAAGATTCATGTAAACCTGGAGTAAATTGAACTTTACTGGTGAAACAGAGCCTAATGTATGTTTTTATTAACGTAAATTAACTTTAATCTTAGTTTAACTTGTTCTTCATTTTTTTCTAATTCTTAGAACTAGAAAAATATGAAGAATTAGTTAAATCAAGATTAAAATTAAGCAACATTTGTAAAAATGAATGATATAACCCTGGCGTATGTCTATCAACAAACACTGAATGTAAAAGTACATTTATATACAAAATATAATATAATATAAACTGTTTTACCTGTTATCCTTGTAAACTATTTAGTGATCACAGTCTATGTTCTTTGTTGTTGCATTTGACTGCACTAAGGTCTAATACTAACAATGTTATTGTAAGATTAACTTTAATCTCTGTTTTATTTACTCTTTATCTTTTATTCTTTATCTTATATATATTCTAAGAATTGTGTCCACTTCTATCAAAGTAGATTAATTTTAATCTTGCTTCAACTTAAGCTTTATCCTTTTTTTAATTCTAAGAACTAGAAAAAAATAAAAATTAAATTAAACTAAGATTAAAGTCAATCTATTTTGATAAAAACGGACATTAGAAAAAGATAAACAGTAAATTAAATTGAGATTAAAGTTAGTCTTACATTAGTGAAACCAGATCTAAAGCTTCTATCTTGCTTATACATTTTTATTTATCAATATTAAAGTCCAATTAACAATCATAGAATTTAATTATTTTTTTCTATATTATATTATCCAAATTATTAATTTAAATATTTCATGTCACTTGTATTGTCTACATGAAAAAAAATTCATGTAAATAATATGCAAACATTATTTTGAAATATACGACATATTTTTTATTACATAAATATCACATAAGTTCAATTACTGTATACAGTAAACATTGAATTTAATCAAGTGCTTCATAATGATTAAGGAATAAATAGTGAATGTCTAAACATTTATCTTTGCTGTTCATTCAGTGTTTACTAAGTATATATTCAGCTTTAGATTGTACATTCTCTAAATAACCAATATTTATTTCTACAAGGGAATTACCCGGTTGCTGTTGACGAAAATCCCACATTACAAAGATGTGGTGCTTATGTCCTTTGAGTGCGAGCACTGTGGCTATCAGAATAACGAGATACAAAGTGGTGGAAAGATAACGGAGAAAGGAATCAAACTAACGTTGCAAGTGGCAACGTTGCAAGATTTGAATCGCCAAGTCGTTAAATCTGACTACACTAGCATTCATATACCCCACTTAGATTTTGAAATTCCTCCTCAGTCTCAAAAAGGAGAAATCACGACTGTGGAAGGTATCATTGACAGGAGTATTAGAGCACTGGAACAGGATCAGCCCAGGCGTCGGGAAGAATTTCCAGACACTGCAATTGAGATAGATCTGTTTATTAGCAAATTACAAGCACTGAAGATATTGGATGAGCCGTTTACTATTATCTTTCAAGATATTTCAGGAAATAGTCATGTAGAGAATCCAAAAGCGCCAATCAAAGATAGCCAGTGTACTATAACACATTTCAAAAGAACGAAAGAACAGAATCATATGTTAGGAATTTATTCTGACAATGAAGATGTTTTGCTCAACCCTATACAGGAAGGAGAATATCCTTTGGAACAACTTGACAGCGAAGTGCTGACCTTTCCTACCAATTGTCCTGACTGCAACAGTCCTTGTGAAACAAATATGAAATTGACAAGTATCCTTTAATTATATTAGATTAAATTTTTATTAATTAGGAATGATATTAGGATAACATCACAAAGCTGGAAAGATTTAAAAGTAAATCTCAACACACTGTTAAAAACAAAATTGTATGATTATGTTAGCTAGTTGGAAGTGTTTGTTTAATTGCAAAAATTATTAATTATGTAAATATTATATATGAAATTTTTCCTCAATATAATATTAAGATATACCACATTTCAAAGAGGTTGTTATAATGGCCACACTATGCGAGTCTTGTGGTCATAGGACTAACGAGGTGAAGAGCGGCAGTGGGATTGAACCCCAAGGAGTCAAAATCGAAGTAACGATAACAGGCACAGAAGATTTCAGTCGCGATCTACTGAAGTCCGAAACTTGTGATATGGAAATACCTGAACTCGAGTTAGAAGTCGGTCCAAACATTTTGGGCGGTCGATTCACGACCGTAGAAGGCATCATAACAGCGATGAAAGAACAGTTGTCTTCGTCTACAGCTTTCACTGGGGACAGTAGTGATCCAGAAATTGTAAACAGAATGAACGTGTTTATTGCACAATTGGAAGAAGTTTTGGATGGTCAAAGGAAAGTGACCTTGATTTTAGATGATCCAGCCGGAAATAGTTACATACAAAGTCTTTCCGATGATGGACCTGACAATAAATTAAAGATCACGAAATATGATAGAAATTTTGAGCAGAATGAAGAACTTGGTCTCAATGATATAAAAGTCGAAAATTATTAGATGTTTACTAAAATAGAAAAATAAAAATTGTTACAGTACAAATTGCATATGTAAAAATAACTAGATAATTAAAATGTTTTTGTAACAATTTTATTTTACGTTGAAAGAATTTGTATATTGTAAATATAAATTTTATATTACTTTTAACACACAAATCTACTCCAATTATCTCTATTTTTTATAGCTTTTTAATCTTCACTTGCGTGCCTGAAAGAAAAGAAAAAAAAACATTTGTTTTCATAACTCATATAAAACAGTATAGTTACATGTAATAAATATCCATTGTAAAGAATGTATAACATACACGATTGGTATCGCGTCGAGTTTTTTCAACGCAGGCAATCTTCTTACAACTTGTGCACGCCATGACTCTGCATCCATATTCTCACATATAGGATTGTTGATGAATAACAAATCTTGAAGAGTAGGTATCTCCTGCAGACGATTAAATTCTGCCCAATCTTTCACCAGATTGTTACCCATATATAAAACCTTGAGCGCTTTAAGAGCATTAACACCTTTGATCTTTTCAATCAAGTTATAAGATATCCACAGCTCCTCCAAGTGGTCTCCAATTGCCTCCAATCCTGAGAACGTTTTGATATTGTTTCTGCTCAGAGATAGGATCCTCAGATATTTCAGCGAACTAATGCCGCTAATTTTTTCTATTACATTTGTCGATAAAGATAATTTCCTAGGAATATTTGAAGGAAATAATTTAATGGATGTGCACAATTTGTATAGATATTTTGTTGTTTATTTATTAGAAAAAAAAAAAACGAACTCAACGTTAATTAATGCCGCCAAACTGTTATCCATTCTCTCGATTGGAGGCCACTGGAAGGATAAAATTATATCCTTTTGTTCGCTCGCAACCAGTCCTGTTTTCTCTTCCCATCTTTGAATGGCTTCTTTGCATGTTGTTGCTTTAGCCTATACACTTTTAAATTTTATTTTCAAGGAAAAATATAATTATTCAATTATTTAAAATCTATTAAACCTCTACCATAATTTTAAATCTCTCGAATATAATTGCACAATATATAATCTTAACCTTTTAATACGATTAATTAATATATCGCTGAATTTGTAGGTGTCAACTGATGACATGTTTATCATCGAATTCTTAGAAGTTAAAGATGAAGAAACAACTTTAATATACAGGATGTCCTATTTTAATTTTGCATCGAAATATTTCGAAAAGTATAAAATATATGCAAAAATGTTTCAGATAAAATATTTCATTTGTCCTTTATATCACTAAAACATTTTTCGATATTTTTTATACTTTTCAAGATATTTTGATGCAAAAGTTAAAATGGGACACCTTGTATATGTTAAATATATATAGAGAGATCCGAAAATTTCCGCATTTCTGTTAAATTTTATATATTATATAAATCGATTTAAAAGAAGAATGAGATGTAATAATAAAAAAAAATCACAAAACCGATAAAGTTTTTAAAATTTGCCGCGCACGCGAATATTTTCATTGCGTTGACGTCCATCTTATCAAAATGTTTTCGTGGCATCAACGCCACCTACAAATACAAAATGGACAAAGTTCAAAAGGAGTAGTAAAGCTTCTGCATTGAGAAATTGCAAGGGAAACATAAAACACTTCATATTACTACAATCCGAACGGAAATTAAAATTGACAGAACGCAATGCATGACGTTTTCAGATCGTCGAACTATCCATAGCCGTAGTCCGATCCGGCCAATGACAATCGCGAACGCGCAGCATGCCCTACGTTGCGTCGGCTCGTTGGGCCGCGGTTCACGAAACACGTTGACAACACACGCGGCTGACCAGAAGTCTAGACTCGTGACTGTGAGTTCGATTCGATTGTGCGTGCACCCCACTGATGAAATTAGATAAAATGTCGAAACGGTTGAGGAAGGACATGGTACGTATGTTTCGTTAAAATCCGTCGTCGCTATCGCCCATCGCAATCTGCATTCGTTTAATCGTTCACCGTACGCGCGCGGAACGCTCGTCCTATCCGGTGAACGGAGAATCGTACCGTGGTAGTGGAAGTGGCGATGATGGTGCGCAGGACGGAAAAGAGGATGGGAAGAAAGGGAAAGAAAGAGAAAGAGATTTCATTCGGTGCGCGCGGAGGAGTGAGATAAATTCACTCGACCGGGAAAAGGGAGTAGCGGTCGCGCGCGCGGTACAGGGAGAGGAATCGGGGGAACAACCCCGACAGGCGGATCTCCTTAGCTACCCGAGACGAGAGAGCGATGTATGAGGATGTAGCGTGACTCCGGTTTCTTGACCCGATCCCGATTCCAAGTTGCTCGCGCGCTCGTGCGCGCAAGCGTGCGAGACCGCCCTCTCTGTTCCGTACGACACTCTCCGTTCAACTCCGTTTCTGTATTCCGTTCGGCTCTTCTCGCCACCGACCGGGATTAATCGCGCGCGCGTTGCGCGATCGGTCCGTGACTTCGTTCGGTTTTCGGTTCACCTCTTGCCGACGCGTACGTCGCCGACGGCTACGACGACGACGACGACGAAGACAACGACGAAGACGTGTGCTACTGCTGCTCAATCGGCCGCGCGCCCAGGACGAGCGCAATGGTATTAATATTCCCCGTATATCTCTCGCCCGTGCGTTTCTCAACGACGCTCCCGCTGTCACGCTCTCTCCTTCCTCTTTTTTTCCCTTTCGAGTTAACGTTTGCGAGCGCGAAAGCGTCGAGGAATCCTAAGGCGACGCGCCCCACGGCCCACACACCGGCACTCACTTCGCTTCTGTTCCAGGAGACGCCGAAGAGCAGCAAGGAGAAGGCGAAGAACGGCAAGGACGTCGACGCCGTTGACGAGGTGAGGTTATATTGTCCTTCTCTCTCTCTCTCCTTTCAGTCTCCTTTCCTCCTCACTCGCCGCGAGGCTACTTCTGTCATCGCGGATTGTCACCGTCTACGATAGCTCCCGCGTGCGATTTTGCACGACGCATGTGTTGCTGCGAGTCTTGCTCCAACGAATGCTCCAACTGGAAATGCACCCCGGTGCGATTCCACGATGACAAACGATGACAGATCGGCCGCATGGCTAACCCGACATTTTGCATATTTTACTTGCTTTTTGTCCGTTATCGCGATACGAGGACCCTTTTGTGCATAAGAATCAGATGCATTAGGTATTTGGATTGTGTGTAGCGATCATGTGGCTTTTTCCTCTAATGCAGCAACGTGAAAAATGGAAAATTTCTTCATTATTTTCAATAGTGAAAATTGATACTTTTTTTACATTTCCGTACGTTAGGAAAAATTATATGATCGTTATCCGATATATACTTGACTCTTTGGGAATTTAAAGACACATATTATAAAGCAGGTCATTGAAAAAAGGTATTTTAAGTTATCTTCAAAGATAACTGATATAGTTATCTTTGTAATACATTGATTGTCGGTGCTACATAATGTAGTCTTGAAAAAATAACAGTATAATTTTGTTTTTCACTTTGAGTTTGTCGATTCACGTGACATAGTACAGTTGCACTGTTTATATAATATTTAATATGATTTGTAGCTTTTACGTCCAACTATTAAGTGTGAAAGAATATTTATATAATCAATGTTAATAATATGCTGTTATTTTATAGATAACATCCTTAAAAAAACTGATAATTTATGAGTCTAGAATGACAATGGGAATGCAGGAAGCAAAAGAAAAACCGTTCTATGTGGTCAGAATTCATTTTCTTTCAAATGTACTCCAAAAGTATTAAGGCTAATTCTACAATGCGCTTTTTGTTTCCTGTTTCTTGCTGTTTGTCTCTTGCCTTCTTGATCAAAAAGGCAAGAGACAAAAAAGAGATAAACAGCAAGAAACAGGAAACAAAAAGCACATTGTAGAATTAGCCTAAATGTGATTCACAAAAAACATTAAAATTAAATAGACGTCACAACTTTTTATGTACATACATTAAATATCATATGATTATATAAGTATGAATATGTTTGTAACACATATTTTATTTCTCAGTTACAAAATTTCTCTCACGAGAATGTAAACTATTATTGATTAAAGATAGAAAATTATGGATAACTTTTCCTTATTAAATTTTTGCAAATTTAATGTAGAATCTTTCTTAGATATCACAGTTGTACATTGATGACAAAAGTACTATATTCTTAATATTGTTAATTTTATTTATTGTGTTACTATATATTTTCTAAACAAATACTATCCTTTTGCCAATCAGATACATTCAATCATAAAAAAAATAATCTTGATATTCATCAAAGGACAATTAAAAGGAGAGTGTATGTGTCTGTTAGCTTAATTTATCTAGTTTGTTTATGTACTAAACATCATTTTTTAAATCTATATTTTTTTAAATAACAACAGAATTTTTTTTAATGAATACCATTTGTTACAGATTGAATGTATATGACTGGTAAGAGGATGGTATCTGTTGGACAATTAAAATTTAATAGTGATAGAATATTTTAATTGTCACATAGTCATTTCTCTATCGTTTTTAGTAATTTCTTAGCATCGAGCGGTAAATACATTTTTAACAGTAGCTAAAGCTAGAAATGTATTGTGTTCACAGCTAGGTGATTGATCGTTTAATGAGCAATCTAATCGCGAGCATTTATTCATCGAGCAGTCAGATAACGAAAGTTATTGTATCAGAGTTGTAACTGTTCTGAGCTAGATGGCGCTCTCGCAATACTTTAGATTCGTAACTAAAGATAAACAATGTTTTGGCATCTAAATAATTAATTTTTAAAAATAATATTTCTTATATTTTCAAAACATTAATCATAATCGATTAACTCGTAATTTCTATTTTTATAGCTATTTATAATATTTAAACAATTAAACTTTGGAATTAAATTTGAATTAAATTAAACTTAATTGATTCGACTAGTTCGCAGTAAAATTTTTAATTATATATTATAATTCATTATTCTCAGTTTAATTCATATTTTTTTTCATATTAAAGTTTATTCAATTTTAAATTATATAAAATTAATAATTCATTATTCTCAGTTTAATCTTTTTTTCATATTAAAGTTTATTCAATTTTAAATTATATAAAATTAATAATTCCATTATTTCTCTACTATTTTAAATTGATAATTTTATTATTAATGAAAGTTTATTAAAGTTACACTAAGAACCGATTGTTCCATCTTCGGATAAAGATAGTAATTACTATTTAGTAATTTATCCAATTAAAAAAAAGAGAACACAAGCAAGAGAGGGATTAAATTGAATCCAGTCTGAAAATATTTAGATATAATAAATAAGAACAAGTGTCAATTAAATATAAAAAATTAAGAACGCAAAACTAATTTTGACGTATAGTGATATAATATATATTAATCAAATAATTTTACAAATAATGTTTCCCAGTAAAGTCGAATAAAAATTAATAACATTGAACAAGAAAAATTATCGATATAAGAATTAAATAAATATAAAAACTAATCTATTTTTTAAGAAAAAAACATGGAACATTAAATGATCGACTAAACGTCCATTACTATACGTAATAAACATTACATGATATTACAAAAAATATGATACTTATGTCTGTTAATGTAAATAAGCAGCGTAGTAAAAATACTAGCAATTAGGCATTATTTTGTCAAGGAGGCTTAATAATTATTTGTTTAATAACATAGATATATTTTTTTACTGTGATAATATATAATACAATATTTTTTGTATACCATACATATATTTTAAATATCAGTATGCAGTAAACTCAACTTTAACCTATTTTAGCATTTTATGTTTCATTAATTAAAACATGCAACCATATATATAGTTTTGAATATATTAATATGAGATAGAAAATAAATAAATAATTTAAATATATAAAATAATTTTTTAAACCAATATTTAAACAAGATATATGACGTGTATGTATATGTTGATGATTTTTTTAGACCGTAATTAACTCGTAAAAAATATCGTCAAAATATACTATATCGTAAAAAAAATTGTTTTTTAACTGAATATATTTTCTGCAATAAACATTTTTATTTTTTTTATAAACTTGTCGCCTGGTATTTTAGTGTGTGATTTTTCGTGCAGGGTAATATTTCAGAATTAAATGCGCTTTTCCTCTATGAAAATTCAATTGCGTACGAAATCGTTTTGCATAATTTGTTTGTATTCTCATTAACATTAAGTTCATCTTCGATCCTGCATGAATTTTACATTTCGTATCTCATCGATATAGAATCGATATCACATGTTAATTTTGCACGTAACGATAACGTGACGTTACGTAAATGTTTATTTGCATCATTAACATACGCGGTTTCACCTCGCTCATTCTGTCAACTATACGAATATGAAGATCGAGTATGAGCAAATTGCGTTCTTTTACTCTATCTTCATGATACGTTATTTGGATCATGTCATTATTTATTTATCAAAATAATAACGTTTGTCACAGATCGTTCGCTAATAAGTACGAAACAGTTCTGAAGAAATCAGCAAAGATTTCCATAAATTTTACAGAATGGTTCCGATATTGATTTACTATACTTTTCCCCCTTTTTGCTTCCCTCGATGATTAGAGGCATCACTAGCACGAAATACGAAATTGATCCGATGCCAAATTGCATACGCGAACACAAACGCGTATACACACATGCGTGTGCAGCTGGTATTATGATTATTCATGGATACTTATTTAATCGTTTGACGCCGCATCCGCCACGTGAATCGTGTCAAACTTTAATTCGTCAAACTGATGTATACAAGAAAGTTGAAGTTAAGGACTGTTCTGGTAGTTAAGTCAGATTTTATCCATAAATTCGAGTACGTGTGCGCGCAATTCTTTTTTTGTTGGCAGCGTCAGCCGACACCTGACGATGTGACGCTGACAGTTGCGCACGTGACACGACATATTTCTAAAATAAGTGTCGCAAGAAAAATTATATGAAGCTCGAAACGGCATGACCGCGGTGCGCTAGAGTGGAAATCGCATTTGTATGTTCTCTCCAAGTGATGCAATTTGCGCCGCGCATTAGCACAAACACTTTGTGTATTACATGTGTGTATATATATGTATATATGTTGGACCGGTACATACACACGCGACTTGTCACTTTGTCGTGGTGCTTTTACGCGCAATTTTTCGGAGATGATTCTTGTCGAAATTTTCCGTGCTAGTAATGTCTGCTTTCAATGTATTGGGTTGGAACAAAAATTTGTAGCGCTGTGAACTTTAAAAGCTTTCAAGCAGCTGTAACTTCGTAACTTCGTTAAAAATGAACGCAATTTATAAATTTAAAATAAAGATTTTTAAAGCTTTAAATTTCTACTTTCGAAAGATTACTATGTCTTTTGAGTTGCTGCGCGTGTTTGATCACTTATATATAGAAAAGTACGAGCTGTACCATGTAACGTGCTCCAAGAAAAAATTTGCGAAAATTTTCGACTTTTAACATGCAAATTTTCCATACAAAATTTTATTTTCCTAAGATTTTTTATTGCTATGAGTTATCGTGGATTAAATAAAAGAAGTATTTTGTCTTAATTCCGCATAACTTTGTTAAAAATCATCACGCACCGCAATTTAATAAACGGATTTTTAAAGCTAGAACTTTGTTTTATCGAATGATATATTATACTTAATTGCCAAATTTTTTTTAAACAAATACACATGATACAGATAAAATAGTGTTATAAATTTTTGTTCCAACTCAATAGATTAATCTTGACTTTGGTTAAATTTATTCTTCATCCCTTTTTAGTTCCAAGAATTAAAAAAAGATGAGTAAGTTGAACTAAGATTAAAGTTGATTTACATTGGTAGAAATGGGTATAAATAACATTGCGCGCAATAA